TAACAAGCACTCTTATAGAAAGAACTATAAAAGGGAAGTTGTATAAATAGACTAAAATTAATAGAGGAACCAAATAGAGTTAGTTCCTGCTTCACTAGCCTCTACAGCTCTTTTAATTTTTGTATTTTTAAAGTGTATTTAACTGCAGTTCCATTTACAAGAAATGTCAGTAGCATTTTTGCAATGGTACTTGTGAAAGCCAAAGTTTTTCCATCACTTTACAGACTCACTTCTGAATGTAACCAGTGTTTGGTAGAAAATTAACATGGAGCAATTTAAGCATTTGCCCTTAACTTGCCAAATGGGGACGATACTAAATTATTACAGAATTATAGGTTACTGGTGAAGGGAATAATGCACACCTTGGTAGGAAAAAGAAGTGGAGTTTTTTACATGTTGCATGAATGGACTCTAATTTGTGTATAGCTGTGGTGTGAGATGAGGCCAGGCTTAAATCATAAACTTACAACAGGGCTTAGCCAAGGTCTTTGGCTATGTTTGTGGAGCTGAATTGCAAGTTTTCCAGATAGACTCCCAAACACATAAGAGAGAACTTGCATAAACTCATCCTTAAGGTTACTGTGACCTGAAGGAAGAAGGCAAAAGTAAACTTGGAGTTGTTGCCGTCTTTGGACATTCACCCACCTGTAGGGAATGGTGCCTAAGCCAGAGGTGCCACTCCTGAGTTTTCTTACTTAGATATGGAAATTACAACCCAGAGGAACATAATAGGCACACTGGGTCCCTCCTAGATTCATCATACCTCAGCCATGCTGTTCCACAGAGTGGCCAGTAACTGAGGCTTCAGAGTAAAAAATAAGATGCTTAAGCAGAAAAGGATAAGAAATAAGAGAAACACAGAGTGGTCCTTTCTCTGTTGAATCCTCTCAGCTGGCAATTTGTGGTTTAAGAAGCTCATGGGCCAGGGTTTATCTCATGGTCAGTAGCCACTAGTAAGTCCATCCTCCATAAATATCTAGTCCTTTACAAGACTATTTATATTTCTGGCCTCCATGTTTTGGCAATGAATTCTATATTATAACTATGCATTCTGTGAAAAGTGTTTGCTTCTGTATGTTTTAAACCTGCTACCTCATAATTTCAGTGAGTTGAGTGCCCCTTAGGTCTTGTCTGGGAAAGAATGAAAAGTCCTTTCCCATTCTTCCAGCTCATATGGTTTATGATTGTACAGATCTCCCTCACATTTTCCCCTTCAGTCATTCTTCCCAGACCCAGAAATCTTAAGCTAGGCAGTCTCTCTCCGTTCACAACCCTGTTTCATGCCTTTGATCACCTTTGTCATCTTTTTCTGTGCCTTTTCTAGTTCTAGTATGCTTTTTTTGAGATGGAGGGAGAAGTGGACTTGCACACAATATAAATGGTATGGGTGTATCATTTATACAGTGGCTGAGTGACAGTTTTGGCTTTGCTCTCAGTTCTGTTTCTAATAATTACTAATAGTCTGCTTGTCTTTTTGATAGTTGGTGAGCACTAAGCTGTTTTTTTCCAGGGGGTTCTCCACCACTACACTAAAATTTTCTAGCGTGGTAGAAGGTTAGTAAGATTGCCTATTACCTGTTTGTTTATCCTGTAATTTACCTGTAATTCTGATTGTATTGCCTCATGTGCTTTATTTTGTATTTGTTGCCACTGCATGCCCTCTACCGTGCTGCTGCTCAGGCACAACATCAGGAGATCTGTTCGTTCCTCTCAGTCGGTCTCTTGAACAACTGTGTGTCATCTGCTGACGGCTCGGCAAACCATGCAGCTTGGCAGGAAGCACTAGGAAGAGCTCAGCCTCCCTGAACACTTGAGGGCACAAAATGAATCAACTTGCCATGTCTGGAGCCTGGTCTTGGAGCTCCTGCTGGGGAAGAGAAGAGAAGCCATGCTCCTACGGACCTGCCTGGCACCGAGTCCTGTGCGAGGAGGTTCAGTGCAGCCATCACCAGATGGTGCTGCTGCATTCAGCCTTGCAAGGTCATTGTGCGCAGGGATGCTTTGATTCTTGGAAGAAAATACTGAACTGAGGATGTTTTTCCGCTGCTTGGATGTCTGGAGAGTAGGCAGGGTATGTTCTGACTTCATGTCACTAGTCAGTTCTCTTTGAGAAGAGGACATTTGGGCTTTGGCTGGGAGTTCAGAATAGGGGTGTGTTCAGATACTGTTTGAGATGATCTGTTCCAGACTGGTTCAAGTGGATAAACAAAATTAATTAGGTTCACATCATAGGAGTCCACAGGATTGATTTTTTCCTCCAATGGAAAACTGGCTAGCAATGGGTACGGCTGCTCACCAGGAATGTTTATTACTATAGCTCACCTGTTTTTTTCCATACGTTTTAGAATACTTGCTGGTTTTTTTAAAGGCCTAGGTCCGGGAGTAATGGTGTCACATAAGAATCCAATGAACCACTGTGTAGAAAAAGTGCTTTAATTCCCCTTTCCTATTGCTATTATACATGAAACTCCAGTGCAGCGAAGTACTTCATGTTGTGTGATTAAGCAGAGGAAATGGCACCATCTGAACCTTTAACTAGCAGATTTTGGTCTTCTGTTTGTGCCAGTAAATATGTGAGCCAGTCACTACTTCTAACAAGTTTCTTGGGAAGGCTTTTATCTCTGCTT